ACAATGTGGAATTGTACTTATCAAAGACACTGACAGAAAAGGGAGCATCTAAGTGTTAATGAAACACAAAAGGGTCTTAAGCTTCATATGATCTGTCCCATACGACTCCTTAAACCCTTAGACTCTTTCTTTGCTATTCTAGGCTTGGCTTTGATTAGAAATTCCATTTCGGACCAGAGAAAAAACTTCCCATCAAGTCTGGTATGTACATTCCTAAAAAGGAGGACTGGTTTCAACTAATTAACATTCTCTAATGGAACAGCTATTTTGTCAGAGGATTCATGATCAGCCCTAATTTGAGTTCTAAACAATTATTAGAGCAGCATGGCAGTAATTACATTAGCCGTGAACAGAGCATTTCCCAAAAAGAGGGCGATAAATTAGAGATCGATACAGCAAAATCTGACAAGAGCTGGCAGGGCTTGAAAGCTGCTGCTTCGTGTTGCATTTCCCAGAAGACATCGACTTGGAAGCAAGTGGTGCTCTGATATCAGCCCCCACTGTGTTTCTTGTACAGCCCTCAAGTGGAACAAGAGGAAGAATTATTTTCAGACAACAGCATAAACAAGTATGATTTCAGAGGCCTTTTCCTTACACTCTATTTTAGGCTAAGACACCTTAGGAGACATTTTTTTTTCCACAAAAAAAGCTATGCTGCATTTCTAAAACAGTCAAATTCAGAAGTTTACAGAGAATACCCACTACAGTTTGGTTGTTAGACTTGAGACATTTCTTTCCTTTATATTCATATCATGCAAGCAGTTATCCTCAAATTAAAGTCAATGCCCTACTTGAGTCAAGCACAAAAAATGTGGCAGGACTAAACAGTACGATTGTTAAGCAATTCTTTGGGCAACTGTCACACAAGAAGCTCCACAGCCTATGTTTACTCTTTCTTCTGCTGAAAAAACCCAGGCTTGACCCATGTCAGAGCCTGAATTAAGAATTTAACAAAAATCACAAGACCCAAATGGTTAGGCATTTTCTCAACTCTAAATAAGCAGAATAATGAGTTTGCAAAACACTGTTTTCCTATAGAAAATCTGAATACAACAGTCTAAACGCAAGTTGTGGCCTGAACCACCTCAGCCCTACATTTTCAGAACTTCATTCCAAAATAAACATTTTAACTTTATCTTGTAAAAAAAAAGGGGGTTTTTTGGGGGGGGGGAACTGATAACGGCAACTAGTATATCAGAGAGCAAGAAAAAAAAAAAAAATTAAAGTCTGAAGTTTTGATGTATCTAAAAAGTACAAAGATAAGTAGTTTTCTGAAGTAATTCCTTTTTTTTTTTTTGTTATTATAATTCCAATTTTAGGTTATAAACATGGATTCCCAATTGTAGACCTTCTAATTGCAATTTCACATTTTAAAAAATTGCTTTCTCAGATCCTTTTTAGAAGAAATAGACCACACGCTGCACAACTGTGGCTTCAGATAAAGAACAGTGTAAACATTCTGAGAACATGGTTTGTCCTGCAAAACTAGACATCTATTCCTTTATAACACAGGCTTGTTTTCTTTAAAAACAGATATGAAAATCTGAGAGAAAAGTAAATGGATTGGGTTACTAAAAAAGATCACATGCACATGATTACACCTTTTATCCCCACTATGCCTTTATGAAACTAAGCACATTTTCTGGATGATAATGCAGCTCCCAAAAAGAAATTAAGAGAGGCTCAAGCTATAAATTAGTCAACTGGGAAGGCAGCTATAATATACCTCCACAGAAAAAGGCAAACCAAAGTCAGCAGTTCAGGAGCTAAACTAAGAAATTTTCAAAGTGTAAGTAAGATTGTTTTAATAATCAGGGCTACATAACCTTTGAGAAAACAGTAGCAAATGAAAATGACTTCAGACATTTCCATGGCTTCAGAAACATCATGCCACTTATATCACAAAGCTGAAAAGCTATGGGCTCTTGTTACACTGGTGGTCAGGAAGTGGTCAAAAGATCATTTATTACCAGCATTTCACTCCTGTAGTGTAAAACAGTGAAGACAGGAAGGAGGAAGATGAGGAATTCCCTAGGTTAAATATTGTTACATGCTTTATAGTTTTACTGAAAGATTTATCTTTTTTTTTGCTTTATAACTCATATGATTATTTTGGTCTGTTGCTGGCGGTGACCTCATGTATTGCACCAAACTTTATTTGGTAAACAATCACAAAAAATTATATAATAATAACTGGATTTAAATGCCAAAGGTTAAAAAATAACAAACTGGGGCCTGTTCCAAAGTACGAGTTGGCAAGAGAGGCTTTATAACCTAAATTAATTTATTAGAATCTTTGAAGCTAAGAGCAAAGCAGGGTTCAGAATCAAGCTGATTTCCTTATACTTTCTAAAGCTTTCTTCCTACCAAATGTTATAAACATGAAGAAGTTCCACAATGTGTATTCATCTGTTTTGAAAACTGAAAGATTGGAAGATAAACCATGGTACTAATCCACAGAATTATGTAAGAAAATCATCAAAAACCAAATGGAGACACCATCCAAAATTACTAAATACTTTACGGTGTGAGAGAACAACTTCCATATTGTGGAGAGTTTTTAGTTCATGTCTGTTTAGTTCCAAAGAAGAGATTAAAAAAATAAAAAATAAAAATCTTCCCATGGCTCTAGCACTTATTTGATCTGCAGATAACAGGCATCTTCTGTATAAGTGTTACCTACACACAGAAATTAACATCTGTGCTAAGCAAGCATCTTTGTCAACATGGACTATTCAACTATTCAAAATTTATTTAAATATAAAAGATACTAGCAAACCTGTAACTTTGCCAGGTCAACCATCTGCAACTACTGAACACAGCCTACTTTCAATACCAAGCCCTTAAGCTGTTTCCTGAAACAGGATGCATTTGTCTACATAGTGATTGTATATTTATTTTACCACAAAAATGCTTAAAAAAAAAATCTCCAACCCTTCCATACTTTGGGCAACTAGACGTGTATTTCTTTCAGAGACTTCATGTCATGATAGCAACAGCTAAAAACCTGAAAATACTCCTAAAGTCAGTGCAGAAATTGAATTCTAAGTGTAAATAATTCAAAGAATTACTGTGGTGAACATATTTTCTTACCAGCTGTTCGTTGTTACACCTTAAAAAAAAAAAAGCAGCAAAATGGTTGTTTTCTTTCCTTACTAATACACCACCACAAATGCAAAATACACACTTGCAGAATTGCCATTGTAATCTTCTTATAGTACTCAGCAAAAATGCTTCACAATTTGCCTAAAATGGAATAAATGAAATAAATTTGGTCTAATAAAATAGCAACCCATTCCACAGCCGAGGAACAGTTTGTCTCTCAGTTTGCTGGGAACTAAACTAAGAATTTCCTGGTATTTTACAATTCTGAATATGAGTATCATTTGTGTACAATTGGAAAAAATTTGCTTTACTTATAAGAAGAGAAATACTAATATATCGGCTTATCTTAAATAAATTAATGACTTTATGAGCCTATTTAAAGCTATGATTTGCTGCATATAAGTAATATCTGTTGAAGGTCAGATTCTTCTACCCGTTTTATATGATCTTTAAATTTAACTCCATATAAAGCAGGGATCAGGGCGCTTGCTAGCTGGCAAAGTGCATAATCAGCTTAGGCAGATTTTTTTTTTTAAGTTTTAATTTAAGCAGTCCTAACTGCTGAAGGAAGTCTACATGAGCATTCTATGACTTGTGACACTTGACACTACTCAACACAAAAACATCAAGTTTAAATAACAGCTTATCTGTGCAAGCTGACTCAAAACAACTGCCTTGATGGGCTTTCCCTCTTCAGCGAGAGAAGAATCAAAGCGTTAATAAAGTGTAGCTCTACTGCATGCATGCATTCCATAGACTGTACAGATGATGGTTTTTAACCCAAAAGTACTTCTCTATCAAGGAGTTTAGGCTGATGTTTCAGCTAGCAATAGATAATATCAAATTTACAGAGCTGGCACACAGCAACATAAAGGAGTACCATTAAAAAATCCTTTTTCTAAATTTTTTCTACCCAGTCTAAAAGTTTTGGTGTTTTTAATTTTAATCTTCCATTGCTATGTCCCCTTCTGTATCTCAGAAGTCTTCCCTGGTTTTCTTAAATGAAATTTATTTTTGGCAAGTCTTTCCTGTTCCCCCCTCTCCCACCACATATAAAAAAAATGAATGCTTATTTACACACACAACCTACACCATCAAACATTGGTTTAAATTGGTTTAAAACACTCTCCTTGCAGATATGTTGGAATCTGAAACAAGTTTCTGCTTCCTCAGCCTAAGATTTATTGTCCAGTGAAGAAACAAAACTCACAGTGTCTCTCAATACTTTGGCAGATCGCATAATTGGAAAAGCAATTTTGATTTTTACAGTCGTCATTATCTTAAGCTGCAGTTCAATTCATAATTTTGTAATTCTTACTTATGTATAAGAGCTTATGTTATGTTTTTAGAGAGGTACACAAACAGACAAATAACAGAACTTACTTCAACTATTTGCTATCAAAAGGTTCCTCATGGAAACTAGGGTCCTGCTTTTGTAAGCCTTTTCACACACCTTCTCAGAACTGGGTGCTAAATAATCCCAATGCCAATTTATCAGAACACAGTCAATGACAAGATACATCATACCTTGTCAGCCTTCAGGACAATCTCCCAAGATAACAGCATTCAGCAAGATAACTGAAATGAGTGCACTGAGCTTCACAATTTATCCTGCAACTACTATCATATTAGGGAGGAAATGGTTAATTGAAAGTGTCTGGTTTCTGGAAGACTGCTTCAAGTGCTTCACAGAAATATTTAAGTGGTTAGACTCATAACACCAAAAAAACCCCTAACAGATTATATTGATCCCACTCCTCTGCCACATCTTAGGAAGAATGGTGAGTCCCTAAGAAGATCAAGCACAGTTTTGATAAGTGTTGCATGAAGAAATTTACATTTGTTTTGCAATATTGTTTTCAAGCATTTAAACAGAAACAGACAGTCTGACTTAATTTTCTTCCTCTTAGTTTATTATCTTTTCATACACATTCCAAAACACTAAGCTGCCAGTCTGCCTTAACATGCAGAACGAGCAGCTTTGGGGAGTCAAATTAGCTTCTTGTACTGCTCGAGGTCCAGGGTGTAACTTGCAAAAACAGTCGGCTCCAACGTACAATATCACACTACCATACAACAGATACCGTTAGTGTGCTGAGCAGAGCTATATACTGTAAGAAATACTATCAAAAACTTAAATTACATGGCATGGCACATCTGCACACGATGTTTAGGAAGGGAGGGCCTTTGATGTCATTTCAACATGACTTGGAAAAGAAACTGTGGAATGAAGTCACTGTTATCAATCCTCCTCAGAGCTAGATTCATCTTCCTGGTCAGACAGCTCAGCAACAGGAAAGCGCAGGATGGCTGCCACCCCTGTCAGCTGGCCAAGCTGTTCTCCAGACACATGAAGGCTGGAGAAAATGCGCACTGTTCCCATGTTCTCCCGTACACTATCTACCAATTTAACATATCGGGCACGTGTAGCCACATCCTGGTGTCGGAAAAGCTCATCGCTGATCAGCAAGGTATCGATGGCCATGGCTTCATTGGCCTTCTCCACGTGTTTCAGGCCATAAAAAGCCCGGTCAGGCTCATGCTGCAGCATTTTATAGAAGTCATCTAAGGCTTTGACCTCACCAGCTGCCTTAGTGTCAGAGAGGCGGCTAGTTACAGCTGGGTCGCAGAGGGCTTCCTTCAATGCGTATTTATGTCCCGAGGAAGAGTGAACCTAGAGTAAAAAGTAAAAGTCAAAGGTTTGTTTTTTTTTTTTAAAATAAAAAGGACCATTTTCTTGATTAGCTAATCACAAACAGCTAACACTATACATAATATTTATCTTGATAACTATTCAAGGAAGTTTCTTTTTGAAACCTATGATGCTTTTCTTAAAGGATGTCTCCTGCAACCCAAAGCCTAGACCAAATCCCTTAAACTGTATTTTAAGAAGTGCAGGAAAGCTGTTTCTTTTATTCAAAGACTGGGTTACATACACAAGCTGTTGCGGTCTCCAGGGTAGGGCCACTTGAAACTACTAAGAAACTAAGATTTAAGCTTCCTCCTTTTAAACCATTCAAGAAGAGGAAAACCTCTTAAGACGATGACATATAGTGCAAAAGTATCAAGTCTTGCACAACTACATAACTACTATGCTTACAAAGTTATGAAGTATATTAAAACACTTCACACTTACTATTATAGCTTTGCTACAAATGCAAAAGGAGGCTTCTTGGTGCCATTTGTCTCCTAAACACTGTGACCATTAAGTACTGGGACACAATTTGCCGCCTGCCCTCCCTTCAATCCCCCCGGCCTTTTGAAAGCATACATTACAGGCCTACTCCAATTAAAAAATTATACAGTATCCTTATGAAAAGGAAAACTTATATTAAGCTGAGTTTGCCTATTTCAGGGAAATGCAAAGAAACTCAATCAATCAGATGACTAAGGAACAGGAAAAAATGCATAACCTTATATATGTAATACAAAACTAACACCACAATTAACTAACCTCTATCACATCCAGGTAATTTTTTTTCCTTCTTTATAAAACTTTAGAAAGCTGTTATTAAACATGCATGCTATACACTGTGATAGATTAACATCACAGTTAAATTATTTTCCAAGTTGTACTTTGCTTTTAATTGAAGATTAAATATGCCTTTATAGGGCATCTGAAGTATATAATACTTTGTCTATGCCATATTAAGGTATCCTAGGAAAGAACCATCTCTGTATCTTGCAAAACTACTTTATAGTTTGGGAGGCATGAGAATAATTTCCTTACAATGTTCAAACAGAAATGTATTTTCTCTAGTAAATGAATTATTTCCCATCACCCTTGTAATTACCTTCTATTATTACAGAAAACTCTTAAACCTCTTTTTACCCACTCTGGAGACTGTTCATTTCCTTACCTGTAGGAACTTGGACCTGTTCTCCAGCAGAAGCTTGTTGTCAGTCTTGACCGCCTGCTGGAACATGTAGTCACAAAACTGCTCCCGGACAAAGCCTGGGCTAGCCACCAGTACACACTTCACCACCTCAAAGTTGATATGCCGCTGGATGGCTTGAACCACCTGCTCATAAAACCTCTCCAGGGCCCGGTCGTGCTGACTGCAGTTCCCTTTCCGCTTGCGGGGGATGTTCACCTCCACCTTGGCACGGGTCAGCGTCATGCTCGGAGTGACCAGGCAGACATGAGCCAGCCCTTCCTGCATGACCACGGCTGCCACATCAGCGCTCCAGGCTGGGTCGCAGGCCTGCTCGATGCGCTCCAGCACCACGCTGTCCCACTGCTTCTTTGCCAGCGTGAACTGCCGGTTGGGCTCCAGCTCGATGGTGTGGTAGGCCCCCATCTTGACATACTCGTTCTCTTGGATGTTAGTGCCCTTGACTCGCAGCTGGCAGGCCTGTGAGTCGAAGTCGATGGCCTCCACACAGAGGGTG